TTAAATACATCACAAGGAGGTTTGCATCATCCTACATTCGATAAAGACGATTCTCAAGCCCTCGAATCACAGAGAATTTTAGAGAGGAGAATCAAGGGATACATAGGATTGTACACATAAATATTTATCAATAAAATATCTTTTTCTTTATATAATTTTTGTTGCAGTTTATTTTCCACACTACAAAAATTTATTGCAAACACATGCGCTATTAGATTTCACCACACATATGATCATTTTCATGTGTCAGACTTAAGCTTATACTCTTCTCTCAATCACTCTTTTGTGTTCAGAAGCGGAAAGCTGCATGCCATGCTCGAAAATAGAGGTTATGTATTTCTTCATTCAAGTAAGAAAAATACGGGACCCTCACAGACCTGTATGGAACGAGAAGGACTATTAGAACTCTCGTTCGTCTCTCTCTTTAACCTATGTAGCTGAACTTTCTTACTTTCTTGATTTTTTTTTCGATCGAGAAGTATGGATCACGTTCATAGATTAACAAAAATGTGCAAAATAATGAGTACCTTAGGATGAAAAATAATGCAACCTAGGAAAATTACCTTATTAAAAGAGAGAGATTAAGCGAGAGAGCTTAAGAAAGAATAGAATATGACAAAGTACACGTGTTCATATGAGAAGGGCAAAGGAAATCAACATTGAATGAAAGAGGCCAAGTTTTTGAGGTACAATTTAGACAACTTTTTGTACATGTTATTGCACTAGTATTAGTACCCGCGCGGATGCACGGATACTAATCATGTCAAATATTAAGTTATTTGGATTGTATGTAAATAATCTTAAAATTTACATTTTCTCAGTAAATATAGATAATCATTGAATTTATCTACATGAAAAAAACTAACCATTTCTTCTATTTTTCTTTTTTTGATATCATTCTTGCCGGTGTCATTGGATCCTAAAAATAGTCAGGAAGCAAAATAATAACTTATATTTTTGGAAAAACAATCGAATATTGAGACAATGAATGACTCTTTGGATAAGACTTAATTCTTTTACTACTACTTAAACTCTTCTTTGGTGTGTTGATATCTCTTAAAAAATATTTCTTTCTTAAAATTTCAGTTTCTAAAATATTATTTTTCAATAATAATTATTTTTATAATAATTTAATTGAAAATATTACTCTTAATTAAAAACTCCTTTTTGTTGGCTATCTAAAAATATAAAAAATTCTTTAGCTAGTGATTTATTTTTACTCCATTTTGATATTTGACATTAACCATGTTAAATATCTGAGTTATTTGAATTATATGTAAATAGCCTTAATATTTAAACCTTCTAAATAGTTATAGATAATCGTTAGATATTAATTAAGAAACACTACATGAAAAAAGACTAACATTTTCTCAATTCTCATAATGATAATTTTATTTTTGCAATATTCTCATAGGTGTCATTGGAACCTAAAAATAGTCACAAAGTGAAATAGTACCTCATATTTATGGCAAAGCTCAAAGGTTGACACGATATAAACGATTCTTTGATTACGACGTGACACTTATACAACGATTTGAACTCTTATTTGGTATGATTTTATCTATCAAAAAATATTTCTATTTTGAAATTTCAATTTCTAAAACTTTATATATATTATAATAATAATTATCTTTATAATGATGCAAGTGAAGATATTATCGTTTATTTAAAATTCACTTTAATCGGCTATCTGAAAATTTAAATGATTCTTTGGCCTGATTTATTTCAGTATGACTCCACTTTAAGTTTATCGGTATCTCTAGCCCCAGAATTTGAATTTTTAATACCCTATATATACAAAAATTTTGTTCTTTGAATCATTAAATGTTAAATTAGTTGATATTATTATATAACATTGCATATATTGTCTTAAAATTGTCAAGTAGTTTATTTTTTGACACGTACTTGGCTTAACCTCAATGCAAACTACTCAAATTGCATTCCAATTCAAATTCGAATATCATATCAGTTTGTTAGTAATAGTAATTTTTTAAAAACGACACATAATGTAAATTAAAAAAAGTATTCTAAGATATCCTTATCTTATAATCTATGTATTTGTGTTGAAAAAAATATATATTTGAAATCGATGATATTAACTTTCAAATTTTTTATACTCAACAAAGATGAAACGTAAGAAGGAATTTGTTGTCATCTTTTATTCTCGTTTTTAGATCTTTCTAACATTTTTTTTCAATATTTATTTTCTTTTATCTTATTTTTTATGTTATTATTTCTTTTGTTACAAAAAATTAATTTATTTCACTATAAAAGGATGAGTTTAATAAAAATTATCTACATATGAACTTTAATTATATTTTTAGTTGTTGGTTGAAATTATTTCATATTTTTCTTTTGGCTTTATCTAATCAACCTAAATAGGTGCGCATCCGACCACTTAAATTAAAAAATTGAATGATGTATAATTTATATATAATCCATATATAAGATGTGTATAATCGTGTGTTATCGGTATATCATCTATTTATATTAGCTATAAAAAGTAAGCAATAAATATTGCCCGAATATTATGTAAATATTTCATAATATTTTGGTTTTTTGAGTTTATCCATGGTATAACTTCTATTATAATAATTTTAAAACTCTATGCTAATGTTCAAAAATATCTTATTTTTTTTATCTTTGAATTAAAAAAAGCAAAGAGTTTTTTTGAAATAATTTGTTTACATTTAAAAAAAATATTTCACGTTATACCAATTTTTTCTTTATATATACTTTTTGTTACACTTAAAAGTTGCTATAGAAACTATCAATTAGAAACCAATTTCTCTCTTGTTGAGTTTGAAAAAAAAAACTTTCACATAATCTAATGATTCAAAACTAATATTCTTCAATGAAAAAAATATTATACCCTTGCAATATTGGCCTGACGACAACTAAATAAAGAGGTTTCAGTTTATACCCTTCAATTCCTTGAATGTGCTAAATTGAAATTAATGATAGCAATTGTATAGCCAAAGTTTTGTTATTTGTTTGATGTCCATTTATGCAAATTGACTCTTCAAACAAATATTCTTCAAGAAGAAAAAAGAAACAACTTTTTTTTTATTATAATATTGACTGATTTTGTGATGTTTCTTTCTCTAGCATGTGTGTTTACTTTATTATATATGTAAGTAAACTTTTATTTGATTTTGTAAACTCTTTTTATTATTTAGATAAACATAGACGTGTACCCTATATATTACATTTATTTTAAAAGAATTTTATTTTATTCAAATCTAGCTACAGTGTTTCAAAGAACTATACTTATAATATTTTAAATGTGAAAGAGTTTTATAGTTATATGAAGTAGTTTTTTTTTGTTGCTAGAGGCGAAGTAGTATTTAAATAATTAGAGAAAATAACAAAAGTTCCTAACATGATTGCATATGATAACATGATAAAAAAGATAAATTTTATTTTTAATTTAAATTCGAATTTTAGAACTTTATCTTTTAATTAAAAAAATACAAATAATATATATATATATATATATATATATATATATATTATTTGTATTTAACTAAAATAGTCAAATATAGAATAAAGTTACCATATACTATTGACATTTATTAGTTACTTGGCTTAACCATAATGTCAATTATATATGGTAACTTTCTTCCTTTAATATATATATATAGATAGTCCGTACACCTTAGCCAAAATTATATAGCCCGTATGAATGAGCTTGATGTAAGTGACTTTTAAGTCAAAGGCCATACGTTAGAAATATAGAGGGCGTTTGGATTGATTTTTAAAAAGCAGATTATAAGCTAAAAGTCATAAGTTGGTAATACCCAACTTTTGGCTTTTAGCTTATTTTTATACGTTTCGTGCCTAAAAATAAGTGATTTAAGCACTTTTTATCATTGCCAAACACTATTTAGAGCCCGTTTGGATTGACTTAAAAAAAGTGGCTTTTAAGCACAACTGCTTAAAAGCACTTTTTTAGTGCTGAAGCTTGTTCTCTAAATAAGTAGTTATGTGTTTGGATAATAGTGCTAGAGCTGGAAAAAAGTTGTTGGAGTGTTTGGTAAACAAGTGCAAGTAAGCACTTTTTCTATTAAAATGACTGAAATATCCTTAAAGCTGTTAACACACGAAAAATAAGCTTATTACTACAACATCCTTAATGTAAAATTACTCAAATACTGACTAATTTACGTCTTAATTAACTCTAAATTAAATTAATTAGATAAGATTATTTTTAATAAATATAAACTGAATGCCAATAGAATTGTAATATGCTTTTGTTCTGAATATTCAACTACTAAATAAAACTATTTGTTTCTAGAGTGAAATGAAAAAAAATGTAATAGAAGTATAAATTAATGCCAATAAAACTAATGCCTCAGCCTTTGCGTCGTTTTTTTTTATGCTAGTTCTCACATTTGTCTAATATTAGGTAATTAAGGATTTTATTAATTACTTACCACAGAAAAATAAAGCAACCTAATTTATTATAATAATATGAAGAAAGATATCTGCTACGTCAAAATGGAAGATGGAAAAAATGACGTTATGACTTAATTAGTAAAGTAAGGGTATTTTGTAATTTATAAAAAAAGGAGGGATAATAAGGTCAATTACTTGGTCAAACATGAAAAGCTTTTAAGCTAAAAAGCAATAAGTTGGACATTCCCAACTTGTTGCTTTTGGCTTAATTCAGCTTAAAAGTACTTGACTTAAAAAGCTATTTTTAGGTTTGCCAAACACTCAAACAAGGTAAAATGTGCTTTTAAGTTGTTTGACGGGGCTTTTAAGCCAAACCAAACACCCTCTTAAGCACTTTTTATCATAGACAAAGTGCTAGAAAAAAATGATTTGTCATTTTGACAGCTGTGGGATTTGAACCCACGCCCTTTCGGACCAGAGCCTAAATCTGGCGCCTTAGACCACTCGGCCAAACTGTCGTGACGATACAGCTGCTTCAGCTTAGTTAATGAGATTAAAAAATTACCCCTCTCTCCAAATCTCTCTCTTTTTCTGGTTTTCACTTTACTTTACCACGGGAGGGCCAAAAGACAGTACGTTGCAGCAAAGGTACTCCACTGGAAGTCACAATCTCTCTACCCCGAACTCCCACTCAGGCTTTTCCTCTATTTCCCATTTTCAGTATACCAGTAAGTTCCGCCGGAGGCCATGACTCCGGTTTCATCAAAGCTTTACACAGGTCTCTCTCTCCCTCTCTAAGTAGCTGAAGTTATGCAATAAGTATATGCTAATGGACTAAAAGAAAACTACACATAAATTAATCTTCTTCTTGAATAATTTCAGATGATGTAAGCCTATTGATGGTTTTGATCGATACAAATCCGTACCTTTGGAGCTCCATGAAGAATACTGCCTTCACATTCTCTAAATTCCTATCTCATGTAAACCCCCCAAAACCCAAGATTTGTTTTTTCTAAATAAATACTCCTTGTAGTTTTTATCTATTGAATTTTGATGCTGGAATTTTTTGGGGGAAAAAATGCAGGTACTTGCTTTCTTGAATTCAATACTTTTACTGAATCAGATGAACCAAGTGGTTGTGATTGCAACTGGGTACAATTCATGTGACTATGTGTTTGATTCGTCTAGTTCCTCAATGCAAAGGGCTGAATGCTTGTTGGAGAAACTGGAGGAGTTTGTGGATAAAGATGAAACCTTGAGTCAAGAAGACTCTGTTGATGGAGTTGGATTTTCACTTCTTTCTGGTTCCCTTTCCATGGCTCTCTGCTGTATCCTCAATCACTTCATGTTGGTTTGGCTTTTTTTTATCCTCGTTGAATTGCAAGTTTAGTGCTTTTTTATCTTTTATGGTGCATAGCTATGAATTCATGTTTGTTTAGAGGAAGTGTGCTTCTCTTAACCTGCGTGAATGGTTAGATATTCAACGGGTATTTCGTACAGGGCCTCTTCATCCACAGCCTCGGGTAAGTTCCCCAATTCAAACTGAAATGGGTTCTTGGGTATTTAAATTGGTAGAATTTGATATGAAAATTTCTACTAGTATTCTGTGGATTTTGTTGACCATTTCCACTTGTAGATTTTAATATTCCTATAGTTATGTTGCGCGGACTCTCCAAAATATTGCCGCACCCGCGTTGGATTCTCCAAAATTATACTGCTTTTGGAGAATCCGACGTGCACCCTGCGACATTTTCGGAGAGTCTGATCAACATAGATATTAATTGCGTTTTCCTCTGTTCCATTTCATGGGCAATTTTATTTACGTAATATTTCCAGATATTGCTACAAAATTGATACTGCCTGTACTACTAGTTTAATTTAACCTTTTAGTGTCTTTTAGAAGTAAGGTTATTGTTGGGAAAATGCGCGTCTTTTCTTGTATTGTGCTTCAAAATTTAATTCCTTTTCTGTTATGTTGGATATCAAAGTCGCTAAAAGATTGTGCTTGAAATGATGGCAGATATTGTGTCTGCATGGATCCCCAGATGGGCCCGGACAGTATGTTTGATCTGAGCAGCCTACAATCTTTTCATCATTAGGTTCTCCGCTGAAACTTTTTTTTTTGGGCAGATATGTTGCAGTCATGAATGCAATTTTCTCAGCTCAACGTTCAATGGTATGTAGAGGTTTAGTAATTCTTTTCTTCAATTTTGTAGCCGTTTCATTTCATTCTAGATTAATTCGAAAATAACAACACTATCTTCATAAAGGTAATCTCTATAAACTAGGGAATGGGACTCAGATTGTTATATTGGTGTTCTACTCTAGAAATGCATTTTATTGCAGGTACCGATTGATTCATGTGTAATAGGATCCCAGCATTCTGCTTTTCTTCAGCAGGTATCATTTCTCTACCTGCAATTTTTGGCCCTAAATCTATTCTTTCCCAGTAGTGGTTCCTTTTTGGCTCACTGATGTAGTGGTGCATATCTGTGGACAGGCCTCTTATATCACTGGCGGTGTATATTTGAAACCCCAAGTATCAGATGGACTGTTTCAATATCTATCGGTAAGTGTTGTTGAATTTATTAAGACTCAGTTATCTCTAGCTTGTCCAGTTTAACTCTCCAGTGGCTTCCTTTAAGCATGAATCTGATATGATTTGGAAGCATGTTGAACTGATTTGATTTGTTTATTATATGTAATGCTTTTACCAAGGAGCTTATGCTATAAAGACCTGCCAAGGGTTTTTTCCATTGCATATCTGTTTTCTATCTTTCATATGTAGCCTTCTCTGTTGTAGTTGGATATACAGTGACCAACTAAGTGGTGGGGATTTAATAATCATGTCATTGAAAAGATATGACGGAATAAATCCCAATGTTCAATTACTTTGGGGGATTTTGGGTGTGTGTGTGGGTGGGTGGNCTAGAGGTTGGATCCTTCATGATCTGAATTTCAAGATATGGGGGTACGGATCCATGTACGTTTACATGTGCTGGGATTCAGCGAAAAATAATTCAAAATATCTAAAAGTAGAGTTATATAAATATGCCTAAATTATGAGAGTTGTCAATACTATAAGAAGTAACTTCTGCACAATAATCTTTCATATACAATTAAGTGTCGATTTTTTAAGTTTTAGATTGGAACTCTAATTCTTATAGAAATAGAGCTCTTGAAGATTTAGCAAACATGTCAAACTTTCACTACATAATTTGCTTATAGTGGAGAACAAATGGTACAATATTTTTTAACAGATAAACTCCAATATAAAGTCTCATTTAAGGACTCTATTACTCCTGCACTTTCCCCAATTCCTCTTGTCAAATGCTCGTCTTCCCCAAGTCCCTCTTTAAAGCTCTCTGCTTCTGTCCTTCAAAAAAGAAAAAAGAAGAAACAAGAACCGCAGGATCCATTCAAGGTTTCACCAACAATGGCATAATACCCGTTTCAAATTTATCCTAGCTTTTATTTTGATTTCAGTAATCAATATGTATCTTGTCTCAAATTTCTCCATAACTTTTGGTCAAAGTATCCAAAATGACCATATCCGTTACGGATCCCACGCCCACACTCACACACACGTCGTGTCGACTTGGGTGCGGAAAGGGTTTTGAAGAGTCCGTCCAACATAGCTCATTTCCCCACATTACGAAATCAGTTTAGGTAATTACATACAAAATCTTAATAATAAGTCAAAATTTGACACATTTAAGTTGACTCCTCATACTAAAGATGAAAACTTTGCCAATTGCTCAATCTTACCAAGTGCTCCAACTCGGGTGCGGGTGTCCAATGTGGTGCGGGTCTAGAGATTGGATTCTTCATGATCTGAATTTCAAAATTTGGGGGTACATATCCATGTACGTATATGAGTACTGGGATTCGGCGAAAAATGATTCAAATATCTAAAAGTAGAGTTATATAAATATGCCTAAATTATGAGAGTTATCAATACTATAAGAAATAACTTCTGCACAATTATCTTTCATTTACATTTAAGTATGGATTTTTAAAGTCTTGGATTGGAACTCTAATTCCTATAGAAATAGGACTCTAATTCAAGCTTTCATTACATTGATTTGCTTATAGTGGAGAACAAATGGTACAATTTTTTTTTAACATATCTAGAGAACAATATTTTTTAACATATTTGTTCTCATTTAAGAACTCTGTTACTCGTGCACTTTCCTCAATTCCCCTTGTCAAATGCTCGTCTTCCTCAAGTCCCTCTTTGAAGCTCTCGGCTTCTCTCCTTCAAAAAAGAAAAAAAGAAGAAACAAGAACTGCAGGATCCATTCAAGGCCTTTCCCAACAGCGGCATACCCGCTTCATGTCGACTCGGATACGGTAAGGGTTTTGAAGGGTCCGCGCAATATGTGAGCTACCAGTTCAATCACTTTTTCATAGTGCTCTATAGTGAAATGTATGTTGCCCGGACCTTTCAAAATCCCTACCGCACCTGTGTAGATCCAACACGATTTGGGTGTCGGTATGGGATCCACACTGTATTTGGTCAGCTTACCTTGGGTTCTTTGACTACATCTATGACCAAGAAGTATATATTGATTGGTATTTGGTTTGATTTTGGGTTTATGTCATATATATATATTACTAGGTATTTATGAAGAATTAAAATTTAACCCGAAGAAGGGAGCTAGTTAAATCAATGATTTCAGGCTTATAAGCCTGCTAGGCAGCATATACAAGTCTCAAAGGTGCTCACCGAAAGGATGAAGCTGGTCATTGAAAAAAATGTGATTGGTAACGAAAATGCCTTCATCGAGTGGAAGCAGATAGTGGATGCAGTGCTGGTCGCAAGTGAATGCATTGACCATTATCAGAAAGAAAAGAAGAGGGGTGATTTGCAACCTGCATATGGGAAAAGCCTTCAACAATGTAAACTGGGATTTTCTACCGCGGTTTGAAGCTAAATGGATAAACTGGATTAGATTCTGTATCACCACTGTTAGAATATCTATCATTATCAATGGCGCACCTGAAGGTTTTTTCCCCACACAAAAAGGATTGAGGCAAGTGATCCACTTTCTCCACTTCTTTTTATACTTGCCATGAAAGCATTAAGCTTAATTCTAAGAGTCCGTTTGGATTGGCTTATTTTAATTGCTTTTAAGCCATTTTTTAACGTTTGGATAAAGGAAAAAAAGGTGCTTTTAAGCACTTGTATTTAACCTAAAATGACAAAAACAAGCCAAAAGCCAAAAGCTAGAATTCCTAACTTATGGCGTATGCTTAAAAGTCACTTAAAATAAGCCCATCCAAACGGGCTCTAAAAAAGGCCATAGAGATGAAATGGATGGAAGGTTTCATTATTGAAGACAGAAATAGACGCAAAGTGGAGGTGTCACATATCCTCTATTCCGATGATACGTTGGTGCTATGTAAGGCAGACGAAAGGCAACTCCTGTACCTAAAGACAATTCTCCTGGCCTTCGAGGCCATATCTGGACTACATGTGAGCTGGGGAAAGAGCATCATTTTCTCTGTTAATGCTGATCATGCCATTCTGAAACTTGCAGCCATCTTACGTTGCAAAGTTGAAAACTCTCCTGCTATTTATCTTGGTATGCCATTGGGTGCTAGATTCAAAGATGCCAATGTTTGGCAAGGTGTGATAGAGCAGTGCGAAAGGAAGCTTGCTCCTTGCAAGAAACAGTATATTTCTTTTGGTTGCAGGTTACCTTTAATTAACAGCGAGCTTGATGGGACCCCAACTCATGTTATGTCCTTATTTCGCATGCCCACAAGTGTGGTGAAACAATTAGACAGAATGAGGTGGGATGGAAATCAGGAATAAAAGAAAATCCCTTTGTTGAAATGGGAAACTATTACTGATAGAAAATTTGGAGACTTGGGAGTCAAGAACCTAAAGCTACGAAACAGAAGTTTGCTATTTAAATGGCACTGGAGGTTTAATGACAGCAGTAATGGCTTACAGAAAAATGTTAGTAGTGCTAAGTATGGCAAAAAGGAGGAGTGGTGAACTAACAATGTAAAAGGTGCTGATGGAGCGTGTCTGGAAACATACCAGAAGCCTTCGGGATGACTTTTATGACAGCGTCAAATTATAAGTTGGTAATGGTATGAAAGTGAAGGTGTGGATAGAAAAATGGATAAGTGATAACCCCCCCCCCCCCCCCCCCTCTTTAATGGAGATATTCCCAGATCTTTATTCAATCAGCACAAAAAGAACTGTACTGTGGTAGATTGCTACGCCAATGGGGGATGGAACTTACTTTTGAGGAGGAACTTATATGATTGGGAAATTAAACATGCTAATGCATTAATCCAGAAGCTGGAACTGGTCTCCTTTAATGATCCGTCAGAGGACACTCTATGGTGGAAGTATCAGAAGGATGGTAAATTCACAGTGAAGGCTCGTTACAAAAATTTCTGAAAGAATATAAGAGGAACCAATGAATGTTGGCCATTTAGATCCATATTGCCCCCCCAAGGATATGCATGTTTGTTTGGATTGCTGCTCATGAAGCCTGCCTAACCCACGATTATATACAGAAGAGGGGAAACAGTTTGTGCAACAGATGCTATATATTCGAAGGAGCTAGTGAATCAGTGAATCACCTACTGCTTCATTGCTCAATTACCAGACAGATATAGGAAATATTCTTTGCCAGATATAGGATGCATTAAGCTTGCTTTAAGTAGCTGGTATGGACAGATCTCTCGTGCTGACAGCACACATTACTGGAAGCTATTCCCATTTGCATTGTCGGAATGTTTGGCTAGAAGGAATAACAGAGGCTTTAACAATGGGAAGGAAAGCATATCACTTGTAAAATCTAGGTGCTTGAAATGTCTTTACTTGTGGAGTAGGAAGAATATTGTAACTCACATTGACTCACTGTTAGAGATGTTGCACTCCTTCAGTCTATAGAAGGAAGCTCTCTCCTTCTATTCTGATGTACTGTTTTATGTACCTTATTGGTACTTTTTAATCCATAGCCCTGAATCTAAAATTTTTGTGATGAAGAATCCATCCTCTAGATTGATACCCGTATCAGCTACACGCACCCGAGTCTGAACAACATAGGTGAAATGTTCATGCTATGTCTTTTTAAGTGCGTAGGAGATGATAAAATCATGAATGAAGATGTAATTGTTGTATAATCTTATGTTCAAAATTTCGTTCACTTAGCATGAAATGCAATGGTTCATTGCTATTTGCTACAACCACTTTCATGACTAGAGTACAGTTTCTGCACCAGAAATTCTTTTCATTTCACTGCTTACCCAAAAAAAATCTTTTTAAATTCACTGCACCAAAGGCTGGATATAAGTTTCCTGAATAAATGATACTTCAAGTTGGCATCATATTGCGCTCTGATCTGATGTGTCTTATTTATAGACTGTCTTGTCTTCGGAAATGTTTTCTAATTTATCATTTGAAAATACTGATGGGCCTTTTCAAAATGCAGACGGTTTTTGCGACAGATTTGCATTCTCGTGCCTTTTTGCAACTTCCCAGGCCTGTGGGAGTTGACTTTCGTGCATCGTAAGTGCTTCAGCATGTCTTTTAGTTAATAATAAATTATTTCTCTCATGATGAGCTGATGTGCAAAGCAAGCACACACTTAGACTATGATGTACTATCTTTGTTTTTGCCTATCATTGTCATTGCCTGTAGTGGCCGATGATTTCATTTTAACACATTATTTATAATTGTCATGAGTGCTTTTCTTTTGACTTCTGTCTGATAGAACCTTACTCATCTGAAAGTAAGAAACATGAACAGTTAACATTTAAACCAGTACATACTAAGTAGTGGAAATCAGAATTTCAACTTTTGCAGTTTTAACCAGAACTTGAATGCATATCATTGAGAGTGTGTCACAAAACAGCATATACCTCTTTCTTTTGAAAGGTTTGGAAACCTTACTTAAAGTAGGGTCCAGAAACACTTACAGTAATAACCTATGTTCCTCGGGCTCGTGTGCGGGTATCCGATCCGGGTGAGGATCTAGAGGTCGGATTCCTCATCTCACAAAATTTAGGATTCGGGGATATGGATCTAAGTGCAGATATGGGTGTTGGGATAATGCCAATATATATATATATATATATATATATATTCGATTGATTAAGGTTACTGAACTAAAATTGAAAAGATTTAATATTTTATTCATAAGATATCTTGCATAATAGCAAAGCATTCTCATACTTTATAGCTTATACAACTATATATATATATAATATAAACAGAAGCAAATGTTAACAGAACTAAAATTTCCACAAAAATTCATTAATTGGGTGATGGAATGTATTACTACTGTAAATTACTCCATCATGATAAATGGTGAGCCTACCCCACCTATTGATGCTGCTAGAGGGCTTCGTCAAGGAGACCCAATGTCACCATTTCTGTTTGCTGTGGTTATGGAGTATCTAAGCAGGAACCTTAATGCACTGAAAGAGGAGAAGTACTTCAAATTTCACCCAAATTATTCCAAACTTAGCATCACTCATCTGTGCTTTGCAGATGACCTCTTAATGTTTGCTAAGGGTGAAACAATTTCAGTGAAGCTGTTACAGGAAAAGTTCAAGGTATTCACAAAAGCTTCAGGGCTTATAGCTAGTCAATCCAAGAGTACAATATACTATGGAGGAGTTTCAGAGGTGAACAAGCAGGAAATTCAACAAGTTCTTGGCTACAGGGAAGGAGAACTGCCATTCAAGTATTTAGGGATTCCATTAGCCACTAGAAAACTAAAACTGGTGGAATGACAACCCCTAATCAACAAGATCACAGCAAGAATATCCTCATGGACTACAAAGAAATTATCATACGCAGGGAGAGTACAGTTGGTGAAATCAGTATTGTTTGGCATTCAGTCATATTGGGCACAATTATTCATTATTCCTGCTAAGGTGATGAAAGCAATTGAAGGATATTGTAGAAGTTATATCTGGTCAGGAACCAATGAAATTACCAAGAAATCATTGGTAGCGTGGAGCAGGATGTGTTTACCTATAGCAGCAGGAGAGTTGAATCTCACTAACCTCAAGTTGTGGAACAAAGCTGCCATAATTAGAACTTGCTGGGACTTGAAGAACAAAAAAGATACTCTATGGATTAAGTGGATTCATGAATACTACATAAAAGCTCAAACATTGGAGAGTATGACTATTCCTCTACAAGCTAGTTGGATGGTCAAGAAGATACTCAAGGCAAGAGAGAATCTAGGATATGTGCAGCCAGAAGCTATGAAGAATAAAAGCATGATCAGGAATGTCTATCTGAAAATGGTTGGGGAGCTGCCTAAAGTAACATGGAAAAACATCATGTGTAACAATGAAGCAAGACCAAAGGCAATGTTTATCACTTGGTTGCAGCAGCAGAACAGATTACTAACAGCTACAAGATTAGAAAAATGGGGAATTCAAGTTGATAGTCGATGTGTCATGTGCAAAACAGTAGCAGAAACAAGAGATCATTTATTTGCTGAATGCCCAATAGGAAGATATATATGGCAGAAGCTTATGCAATGGATACAGATCACCTGGAGAAATTTGAATACATGGAGCCAGATGCAGCACTGGATAGAACAGAACACCAAAGGGAAGACTGCCAAATCAAGAATAGTAAAGATGATATACACAGAATATGTGTATGCAATCTGGACGGAAAGAAACAAAAGGATTTTTGAGCAAAAGGAGACTACAGAGGACACAATGGCTAGAGAGATTGCTTATATTTGTCATGTTCGAGCTAGTAGTACTACTAAGAGGATGCTCCAACAATGTAAATTTCCTAGGTAGTTAGAGTTAATAGTCAGTAAGTAGGAGGATATACAGAGAGTTAAATGTTTAGAGAAAAATCAGACTGAGTATAAAGTCTGATCGATTCGTAAATACTTTTTGGTTATTAATGAAAACTTTAACCAAAAACAAAAATATATAAACACAAAAATCAAACCAAATACCCAATCAATCTATACTTCTCCATCATAGACGTAGTCAAAGTACCCAAGGTAAGTTGACCAAATCCGATATGGATCCCACACCCACACTCATGTCGTGTCGACACGGGTGCGGCAGGGATTTGAAGAGTCCACGCAACATAGGTAATAACTAGAAGTGAGAAACTGATGAATGGGAATTTTCTATCTAAGCCACTTTAGATGGTGGTGACCAGTTTCTCTTTCAATCATGTTAGTTATACAACCACCACCACCCAGTATAATCCCACAAGTGGGATATGGGGAGGGTAGTGTGTACGCAGACCTTACCCCTACCTTGCGGTAGAGAGGCTGTTTCCGATAGACCCTCGGCACCCCTCCTTCCAAGAACTCCCCACCTTGCTCTTGGGGTGACTCGAACTCACAACCTCTTGGTTGGAAGTGGAGGGTGCTCACCACTAGAGCAACCCACTCTTGTCAATCATGTTAGTTATGTTACTGAATAAAAAAGAATCCGGTGGAATCCTATTACAACAAAAAGGAAAAGGGATGTTTAATTCAGGAGACCTATCCTACTAATAGCAACTGCAAGTATTAACTGAAGTCCTGCAGTCTGACACCAAATAAATCTTTACTCCAATTTCTAGTCCATTTTGACACAAATTCCTTGAGCTCATACCCCAATGTAGTATTGGGATTACTCTTCGCCCCGTTCACACTCAATTAACTATTATTGCTCATCCGATGAAGTTTCTACTACCTTGCAGGTGCTTTTGCCACAAGAACACAATTGACATGGGCTACATATGCTCTGTTTGTTTATCCATATTCTGCAAGCATCACAAGAAATGCTCAACATGCGGGTGAGTTTCATTGTCTTTTAACTAAAGAGTCTCATTGACAAGCTCTTCATTTCTCATTATTATGCTGCATTGAAAATTGGTTTCGGTCCAGAAGGTCAACAAGACCTTATATCATGTCAAATGTTACGGGCAGTCCTGATCACCTTTTTTATCAGTTCGCAAGGTTCTTATTGCAACCTGCATCAATTGAACGCTGTGCTTTACAAAAAACAAAAACTCAACTCCATTGCTTCACAGTCAAGGAGGTCTAATAATCAGCTCTTGTAAATGCTATTAGGGAGACTTTTGCCATGATTTACGTGTACTAGCTCCATTACATCAAGATTTCTGCACCAAAAAAGCAAAAGAGAAAATACATCTTTGCTTTAATCTATGTACACTCTCATGTTTTCCTGCAAAGAATCGCTGTTTTTTCTCCCAGATTACCCATCAAATACAAGCAGGAACCTGGTGGTATTATTTACTGTTCCGTATCAACTATGTCTCAATCCCGTAATAGTTGGAGTTAGCTATATGAAATCCTCGTTTATTGGAAGGCTCTTTGCAAGGACAAGGGAGTGCACATAATGATTGTTATCTTAGTGATCTAATTTTGACATTTTTGTTTGCAACATGATATGTGCTAGTTTTCCTAGGAAGGCCAAGTTCTGAACAGCAATTATACGGCAAATAGGTGCAGTTAACAGTTCCTATTAGGAGCCACTTGTGACTGGTTGCATATTTCCTTAAAAAGTGCGAGAAAGATGAGTGCATGTCATTACTGTGTGCTGTCATGTTATTTAAAAGTTAAAACAAAGATTTCGTTGTGGTAGTCTGGAATAGAGAACTAGCTCTCACCAGCGGTGTCCCTTAAAACATTCTTTAAATTGGGCTGGTAAACTTTCTTGCCATCTGGTGTCTCAATTATGTTAACTACCTGAATTTCTTAGAGAAGAATTGGGGATGCATGAACTTCAGTCACCTAGTTACCAGTGTTGTCAAGGGCGAAAAGCTCTAAAAAGCGCTCTAGGTCTATTTGGGCTTTAAGCGCAAAGCGCACTTAAAGTGTGAGCTTTAGTTAAAAAAGGCGCAATGAAGGAAATAAATAAAAATCTATATGTATTTCAAGAACAAAGTAACAAATTCATTTATAATGTTTCCCTTAGCAGCTAGTACACTTATTTCTGATTATAGTTGTTTTTTAGTGCTGCTTGATTCAAGAGAGAACTCATGGGCAATGAGGCGCACTCCTTAGTGCCTTGCCTTACACTGAAGCGCAACTAAAGCAAGGCGAAGCGCCCTCCTTGAGCTTTTATGAGCTTCAGGGCTTAAGCGCGCCTTAAATAAGCCTTTGACAACACTGCTAGTTACTACTAATAGATTACTTGTCAGCTACATTTTAAGGATTCTTCTCCAAGAATATCTGAGACACAAATCAAAAGGCACAGATGGTCAAAGTAACTGTTCTACCACCGTACTGCTGAATACTAAATCATATAATGGATGCTTGGGTTTGGATATTCTAACTTTTGAGTCGTGCCATCAAATGCAGATCAAATTTTGGAGAGGCACGAAAGCAGGATCCCTCAGCCTCGGGTCAGAGGAGAAAGACTCCAGATGGTAGTTGAACAGATAATGCTAAAGTTATCCTTAACACCTCATAGGTTGCTGCACAACTGTGTTTCAAGAGCTTTCTTATGATAATAAGCTCTCAGACGTCGAGGCTAGGCCTTCACTGGTACTTAATGATTAGTCTAGACTATGTTTCAGCAGGAGGAAGTGGAAATTAAAGAAAGCAGTGTAGTTGGAAGGATGTTGACTTCAATTTTCAAAAAACGAAGGTTAGGAGAACAGGAGGAAAAGCCCAAGACAAACTTCTGTTTCTGACGAAATAGGAAATTTTCTTGTAACTGAACTATTTCCTTTTCTAGACTAGATGAAGGAAAACAGAGGGATGATCCTAACGAACTGGTCTAATTTTAATCTTTCTAGAAAAATGTTATTGCTGAAATGGAAAGTTGGAAGTGGAATTCCAAAACAAGTTAAGGCGTACAAATTGCAAATCATAGTACCAAACATCTTTCGAAATTTAGGTCATTAGTTTCCAATCGTCCAGGGATTCGAATTATTTATAGTATATCCGTCAATTTCCCTTTCTTATAACAAAACTTTGCTGGTGCGGATGATGAAAATTTGAGACCAATTTCCCTAGTATTTCATTTATTATTCATATATTTAGGTGAAATACATAAACGGTCATTTTAAGTTGTCCTTAACAATCAGCTGAACACCTTAATTGACCCTTTTACTATTTAGACAGCGTATCAAGTAAACATTCAAATGGAGTACACTATATGCATGAGTTATACTTGCCAATGATATGTCAAATAAACCAATTAAAGAACGACGCGTGTAATTTATAATTAAAATATTTGACATGTGTAATTAACAATTAAAAAAAAAACCTTTTCCTTATTTTCAAGTAGACCATTCCCCACGGCCCCCCTCACCCCCCAAAAAAAAAAAAAACTATTCTTCTTCCTTCCGCCTCTAACCTCCTTTCCTCTGTGATCTTCCCAAAAATAGAACCCTCAACTAGAAAATCATCACCATCTTTTCTTCTTCATCTTCTTTCAAGCTTCCCCGGATGTTGCTGCAATTCTTTTCCTTCCTTTTCTTCTTCTTCTTCTTCTCCAAAATCGGATCTCCTAGCCAAAATATGATGGACAGAGCCGTTCCACTCTAATCTAAAGAAGAATGGTTATATCAGAAGTTTTTCAGTTATCGCCTACTATCTTTTGCCCTTCATCTATTTCTTTCTTAAAAGTTCTTCTCTTAAAAACCCAAGAGTAAAGACCCATCAAACAATTATTGGATTTTGGTCTTAATGTTTGTCGTGTAGGAGCCTCAAACATCTTTACTGCCAGAGGTGATGTCTGTATTGGTGGCGTCGGCGGCAGAGGTTGTAGTGGTAGAGTTCATCATAAAGTTTAGCAAAAAATATGCTCTCTTTTGTGATTGGTTTTGGGAGAATATTCTTGTTAAAGCATCAATTTTTAGAGGGTTCAATTTACTCTATTAAATACTGTTGTAAATTTTCTCAGACATGATTCTTCTAGTTTAATGATGTGAAATTTGATTTATCCAATTAATTATTACGGTAATGCTTGTGATTGATTGTATAAGCAATTGTGACAGTTTATATCGGTAGAAATTGTGTGCTTATTTGATGTTTTCCCCATTTGCTTTAATTTGAAAGAAACTTTTTAATTGTTCTTGGTTTTCATCAATGATGAAAACTTGAAGAAGAAGAAGTCCGAAGATGAAGGTAAGTTGGGTCATTATAAAATAAGGTTAATTCAAAAAGGAAAAAAAAGAGAACTTAATTTTGAGGGTTTCACGCGCCCAAGCTTAAATAACAAGCACACATTTTCCCATGTCACCTGTGAGGGATACATGAGTCACACTTTAGCCGAGAAGAGGTGTCTGTCCGGTCATTAGCATAATTGAGGTGTCAAACAATCAATCTGATTGTCGAGGACAACTTAAAGAGGCCGTTTATATATTTCGCTAATGTTTTAGTGATTTGTTTTTACAAGAAATTTTGGAAGAATGCTTAATCCACCATCTATATTATATTAAAAGTACGAAGGCCCTTAGCGAAATATTGTTCGCCTTTTTATACCCTTTAAAAATATATTTTATATTCAACAAAATAGTAATTTAATAATATTAAGACTTTAAAAAGAACTAAAATTTTATTTATTAAATCTTTCCATATTGACTTAAATTTTCCTAATATAAATTCTTTTTCCTTACTTTAAATTACGGTAAGCAAAGTATCTACAAAAGCGTGATGAAAACTAGAACAATTAACCTCAACTATTGCAATCAGTTCTCAATCGCTGCCAGCCTCTAATTAGGTATGATTTTTGATTAAAATTGAGTTTCTCCCGTAGCTTTTGGCTTTCCTAAAATTTGAGCTTCATGTACGTATTTATTTCATGAAATTTTTTAATTGTCTTGGTATGAACTGTGCATCAGTTCATGTATCTTGAAATTTTTTGCCTTGTTTGTCCCATTGACTTCTCAAAACTATAAAGAATTCGTAATTCTAATAGAGTATCAGACTCTTGATCAGGAAGCTTCCAAACGTTTTTTTGTTACACTGCCCGAGAATTTCAGTTAACTTTTTTCGAAATTACAAATTAGATTATTATTTTAATGATAATGACTAATGAGCATGTGGTTCTCGTGATTTATGGGTGAGTAATTGATCCTTCCTGGTGTGGTATTCTTACTTTCAGACAGATGCATTACCAAAATGGCAAAGTCAAAAAAGACATTACTTTCTAACATATTGTTGCCAAGGTTAGGGATTTTTTTTGGGGGTGGGGTTAAAACATAAACTTTTATTTAATACTAAGGGGCATTACAGAGGTTACTCATATAATATGACATGAATATTGTGAAATAACTTTTATTGTGTTTCTATATTACTTATAAAGATAAAATTATAAACATATGAACAGAGGATAGACTTTTTCACGTCCTCATTACTAGAGAGGTAATATCTAAATAGGTGTGGAAATCAAACTATTATCTAATAATCTCTATTTCATTCAAAAGAAAAAATTATAAAAAAAATATACAAAAGAATTTTGTTAGAGTTAAATATCCGATAACATTTTAATATAGTATAAACTAGGGGTTAGAATCAAAACAATGATAGACGTTTTCTAAAAATTGTTAGGTTTATAGTATTAATCTTTGTAAATATTTAGTTGTAAAATATTAATCTATACTATATTAAAGCACGAAGGGCCCTTTGCGAAATGTCGTTTGCGTTTTTTACCCTTATAAAATAAATTTTATATTGAACAAAATTGTAATTTAAGTTATATTCCTAATATTTAGAAATAGTCATTTAATTATTTACCTAATATTTAGGAATTTAAAACCAATTAAATTTAGTGTCTCAAAAATTCTTCCTAATTTGAATCAATGTTTTAAAAGGCGGGGCATGAGGCGGGGCATAAGCCCCGAGACATGAGGCGTAAGTCCCACGGATCTTTAAATTTTTCTAATTTCAAGAATTTTAAAATAGTATAAAATAAAAAATAATTATAAAAATTACATTAAATTCACAAAATTATTACAAATAATCTATTTAAAATATTTATAAAGTATAATTCAACAATGAATAATACGAAAAGTATGACATATATCATATGTAAATTAGCTGCAACGTAATTGCAACTCAAACATCAAAAGTAATATATTCGATACGAAATCTTATATGTAGCTCTTAAGAAGTAATGAATCTTGAAAGAATTTCGATATTATGATTTGATATTTTTCTTAAAATACTCCTTTTATGTAATATACTTTCAATTTGAAAGAGAATTTATATAAAAACGTATTTCACAATTTCAATATGATTCTCTAGCATCATTTATTATTAAGTTTCAACAAATTAATAAAGCGACATATAATTCACCATACAATACCGTGATATTTGTAAATAGTTACTAGCTAATACTGAGCTATTAAATTAATAAATGTTGTATCTCGTAAAGGTGAAAAAAATAATATTTAGAAAAATAATTATAAAAAAGTTATGGACTATTATATAGTAAAGACATAACAAAAGTTAATAAATAAATATTTTTTAAATAAAAAATTTATTTAAAATTAACTATCATAACAGTCTTAGTGGATAATGTGCAATAAATTTTATTTTAATTATGACATATAATACTCTCAACTTAATGGTTTATGATTAAGAAAAAAGTAATTTTGAATAGTCAACGATTTATTAAGAAAATTTGAAGATTTACAAGGTTAGATACATATAATTGCATAAAATTTTATTAGACGAGCCCAGTACGTTGGGCGTTGGGCGTAACCGGGGCGTAAGCCCCGATGGCCGAGGCGTAAGTCTCGCGGAACTAAGCCCCACACATAAGCGTAGGGGCGTTTTACGAGTGCTCTGCCCCGGGACGAGCCCTGAGCGAGTCCCAATTCTACCTTTTAAAAGAGAGATTTGAATTGTGTCATATAATAGATTTGTTTTAAAAGAAATTAACACATAAAAATCAAATTATTTTGTGAAGTCGTTTACAACACCTTGTCCTCCTTTTAGTCTTAGGAGTCTTATTGTTTGTTATTAAATTTTAACTGATTAATTCCTTATATTATTTTAGATAAATTTTGGAGCACTTTCGAATTCCTTTAAGGTTTAGGACTGGGACACTTTAAAATCCTTTTAGGGTTAGGAGACTTAAAAATTTCATTAGTTCTTTACGTTTTAAAAGTCTCGCTTTTTTCCATTAGTGATAGTGATTGCTACAATATTTTTGTAAAAATTGCACGAGACGCCCTATTTGGTCGCCTCCATTTAACTTATTTTTAAATTTTTTTAATTTGTACCAACTTTTTAAACAACTTCAACCTCTTTTCTCCTACTACTCCTCCTCCTCCTCCTCCTCCTTCTTCTTCTTCTTCTTCTTCTTCTTCTTCTTCTTCTTCTTCTTCTTCTTCTTCTTCTTCTTCTTCTTCTTCTTCTTCTTCCACAAATTGCCACTTTTACCGATATGTATGCCTCCACAAATTGCCACTTTTACCGATACAATATTGATCCTTTTGAGATCAATATTGTGTCATACTGTATAAAGCATCAGTCAGTCGCTTGTCTTAGATTATTAGATGAAGTTCCAAAATAAGACGTCGTTTCATATTAAGACAAAGACCAGATGAAAAAATAAAAACATAAATTGCTTTTTACTGGACTAAGTACTTATAATTTTAAGGGAAAAGATCATACCTAAGTGACGATGAAGTTTAGGATCCTATTGCCTCCACTTTTAGCCATGCCAAAAGAATGCAAATGTCACTGACTCAGAGGTACTGAGAAAAATGGTAAAGGACATGCTCATTAGCAATTATCTGAATGAGATCATACACATTACAGGACAAAAAAACTTCAGCTTTTACTGCTGAAGTTTTTACAAATGAACTAAATAACTTCAACATCTTCTGCTGAAGTTTTT